GTATCCTCCCGTGAACAGCGTGAAGTAAAATGTTCCACTAAAGCCAACTGACAGCCGGATACGAAGGAGTCACCGTTCTCTTATGATGGGACCGACCCTTGAACCTCAATATAATACACTTGGACTCAAAGCTCAACGATTTTAAACCGAGATTCCTCAAAGCCCAACTTTTTTTTAGATACGAAGACAAACTGGGTTTCGATTAATCTTCTTATATAACATTGTGGGGAGGGCTTTCACTTCATATCAAAGTGCATGAGAAAGAGATTCGTATGTCGATCTCACCTTTTTTTACATATAACAACGCATACTTGTAGTCAGATACTAAGTCCATTGTACTCTCCCGACGAGTCATATAATTAGAAAGATAACAATTTAAGGATCTCAACAGGTAAAATTTGGGAATCTGATAAATCAGTAGATTTAAAAAGTGAGATAAAAGAAATGGCGAAAAAAGTAATGCAGTTATCTATATTTGTGGACTTTTCCGTCTTATCTGTGGAGTACAGATGACTCAAAGTTTCTAAAAAAACTTAACTGTAATAATCGAAAATTGAATTTAAGACAGAGTAGCACAACTTCAAAATTACTAAAATGAATTCCACCTACGGGCAGCATTTCCAAGTAGACCAAGTCCATCGATTCGTTCGTCAGCTCTTTCGTTTTTGTTTTGTGATAACTCAACCATGTTTGCCTCATTTGCCAGGCCTGAGATGGAGTGTGCACCGGCCGAGCCCGAAGAGTTATCATTGCTATCAGATAGCGAGTTAGCATGAGGATCAACCAACGTAAAGGAACGGAGTGAAGAGACGGAGGGAAGCTCAGGAGATGAATGTGAACAAGATTGGCCAACAGAAGAGAGAGGTTTGTGTCGGGTACCCAGATCAGTTGAATAAGGTGATGAGTCAAAATCCGAAGCTACTGGACAAGAAGAGGAAGATTGTGAAGACAATTGCTGATCGGGTTCATCTGAGATAGAAAGTTTCTTGGGTGGATGCTGAATGGGTGCAATCGACTCAGACACTGGACGAGTATACTCGTAATCGTTAGGCTTTGGCAGATTGGGCAAATCTGTCAAAAATCGAGAAGAGTATAAATTTGAGTAGAAAAAGATCAAACATTAAAATATAGATCATATTCATATAACCACAGCCCATATAAATAGATTTGAAAGAATAAAACCCTATTTTAAACGGCCCAAGAGTAGATGAAAACAAAGTAGCTATGGAGATCTCAATGACGAATCCAAATTTTGAAGCTGTCTCGAAAAATAATGACGCGCAAAGTAGAGTGCACCAAAACTTTTATAAGTAGTGCATAGACTCAAGCCAGCTTTTTTAGTTTTAATCTGATCGCACCCTTCTTCAGTATTAAATGCGCCATTATTATTTTATTCGATAGTATTCGATAATTAAATGACTTAAAATAAATTAATCGATCACATTATAGTTCTATAACGCATGTATTATTAAATGAATAAGTAGATCCAAGGACAAAAGTGATGAGAGAGCTTTTAGCCTGGGATTACGAACTGATTGATACCAAAGAAAGCGAGGTGAAAGAAGACTTCATGCGTCAGTAAAAAGTAGTAGAAATGTGCTTTTCGTCGCTAAACTCATTGAAGCTATCTAGTGCAGCATTTGTAAAATACTTTAGAATGACTCAGAAATGGCAAAATGTTTCACATGCCTACAAAATACTTACATTAAATATTGGTAAGTTAAGAAAACAAGTCCAGATGAAATCTTAGTCAATCTGCTTCAAAATACTATGAGTGAACACATTCAGTCCTAAATTAATCGTGTCCATTAATTCGTCTCCTTCGAGGTTAAATATAAAATTACAAACTCAGATACTTGTTGGTTTTAGGTGACGAGCAGAGCTCCAGTGCGCATTAGGCAGTCGAAAGATAGATATACACTCGAGCAAAATTCCTTTATAGAATGGCAAGTAAGCAGTGTGAATACACTGCCGCGGCGCCCCGAGGAGCCGCGGCCTCTTTACAGGGGCGCCGCGAAATATTGTAAAAGCTTCAATTTGATAAAATGTGTAGTGATTTGCA